TGTAGGGATGGCTGTCGGGAGAGGGAAGATGTGGGGAGCTTGGAAACCCTACCAGATTTCTCTGCTTTTCAGAGGGGCTTTTCATTTTGACAGCCCGGCTTAAACAGCTGGCTCGGAGGGAAACGAAAGTGAAACCAGATGTTGGGTTTCAAGGATTGTCGGAGGGTCTGGCCTCACCCTGCCCCACTTCTTATAATAACAAGCCCTCTAAGCCGAGGGTTTATACCCGAGGGCAACTATCCTCTCCTCTGAACTCTCTTATTCAATGCCAGGAGACGTTGCGTTTTTTTTAAACACTGCAACTCCCAAAGTAGGCAATAGGCGATAACAGGCCACTAATAAAGAATGGCGCAATACGAAAGCTTTCATGGGTCAATCCCACTTCCTCAACGCAAGTACAAAAAAAAAAATCCAAAAGTTTGTGGCAAGATGGGTTTCGCCAAGAAAGTTACTCTTGAGAGGTAACGTCCAGGAGTTCTTAAAGACGGATTTTTGCCAGGAAGTTATTCTTCGATGGAAGCCAGGAAACAAGGCAGGCTGCCTTAGCGCTGTTGTTTTAAATGATGGCCGAGGCAAGGGTGGGATTGGATTTCACACACACGCACACAAACACACAAACACACCCCAGTTCTTCAGACAAAGAGCCACAGGCCAGAGTGGCAGATGGGCATTACGGAAAGGGTCCTTTATCTCCTGTTCAGTGTACAAAGGGTTAAAAGAGAGGGGGCCATCCGCCTGAAAAGAGGAAAGGGGGACTCAAAAGTCAAACAGTAGCCAAAGCTGAATCCTTCCAACCAAGCCTCCCCTTTTTCTTGTGGGGGAAAAAAAGCTAGTTTTTTAATAGGGACTCAAACTTGGTAGCTTGGGATTCGGGACTTGGGACCAAAGACACAAACTTGAACTCGGGACCAAAACCTCAGGCTCGGACCCTGAACTCGGACCCCAAGACTCGCCAACGCTCTGATGCTCTGTTCCCCCGAATCAGCTCTGAAAGAGCACCGGCCGAGCGGGCGAGAGAGGATTTCCAGGACCAGCCGCTGCAGCCAGAACTTTTAGAAGGAAAGAGCTGAGTTTACAAAATATGCAGGACGCGGAAAAACACAAGAGCGCACAAGGGAGCCGAGCTCCCCCCGGTCTTGCGAGGGAGCCAAGAATGACAAGCTTCGCTGCCAGCGCCCCCCCCCGTCTCATGTCATCCCGGAGGCCGTCCTGCCCTGGAAAAATAAGCCGTCCCGGCACTAACAAGGCCTGGGGCCCTTGACACGGAAGGGCCGCTCCGTCAGAAAGAGGATTAAAAACCCTTCCCTTCTCGGGTCCTATTTTGGGGCATAAGATGGCCAGGACGGAACAAGGAGCCTTCAGCTGTTCGTACGCGCTCCGCAACCCGCAGGCCAGGCCAGTCTGATGCGCAAGGCTGGCTCCCTCTTTCAATGGGGCCATTGTTCGGCGCACAGGGATCTTTGGTGAGCCTCAAGCCAGCCTGTCTGGCTTTTCGACGCGAAAGGGGGGGGGGGGGGGAGAGAAAGCAGGGTTTAAGTGCCCAAGAGCAAACCAGGAGCTGGGAAGGACCACTGACTCCCCTGTATCCTTGTTTTCCCCCTCATAGAACGAGGGGAAAATAGGGTGTCTTGGTAGAACCTTTTTTTAACAAAGCGCAGACCCCTATTAGAAGGAGTGCCATCGTTTTGAAGGGGTCCGTCCTCTTCTTGATGGACTGACACAGAGATGTGAACTGGCTGGATAGCTCCGGGATTGACGTCTCCGGCTGCAGAGTCAGAGGTTGCCAGCCTGGGTGGCCTTGGGCAAGCTGCATCGTCCCTGGGCAATCCCAGAATAAAGGAATCGCCCACCAGCCTGGGTGGCCTTGGGCAAGCTGCATCATCCCTGGGCAAGCCCAGAATAAAGGAATCGCCCATCCCTTCTGAGTCTTCTCTACCTAGGTTGCCGTAAGTCAGAACTGAATCTCCACTCAGCTGTGGAAACTCAAAAAAAAACCCTCCTTAAACATCTCACTTACCTCAAAAGCTCTCGAGGGTCGCTATAAGTCGGGTTCAACTTGAGGCCTTGGGCAAGCTGCATCATCCCTGGGCAAGCCCAGAATAAAGGAATCGCCCATCCCTTCTGAGTCTTCTCTACCTAGGTTGCCGTAAGTCAGAACTGAATCTCCACTCAGCTGTGGAAACTCAAAAAAAAACCCTCCTTAAACATCTCACTTACCTCAAAAGCTCTCGAGGGTCGCTATAAGTCGGGTTCAACTTGAGACATGACTGCACTGATCCTTTCGGTGCAAGGGCGGTGTGTTCTACGTAGACCCACTGGAAGCCAAGGGGGTGTGTATGCGATGGGCCACGGGGAGCGTTCCTCACGTCCAAACGGCATACAGACCCTCCAGCTCCTTCTGCGGTCCCTTGAACGTACGAAATGGAATTATTATTTTTGTCTGTGCTAGACTATCGCTGTTGCGCAGAATCGCTTAGATTATTTAAGAAAAAATATCTCTGCCCTCTTTGTCGTGCCGATCCAGGAACTGCCTGCCGAGAAAAAGCAAAGCATTAAAAAAATGATCCAAGTGATTTAGCGCAACAGCAATTTCACTCCCTCTGGCACCTCCACAGAGTTGCAGGGGAAAGTGTTCAATTTACCGATATTCTGAAGCGGCTCACTTATTAAGCCCCTTCGCGATACTAAAAATGGAAACCGGAACCAGCTTTGGTAGCTTTCAAGACACTGCCTGCCGAGAAAAAGCAAAGCATTAAAAAAATGATCCAAGTGATTTAGCGCAACAGCAATTTCACTCCCTCTGGCACCTCCACAGAGTTGCAGGGGAAAGTGTTCAATTTACCGATATTCTGAAGCGGCTCACTTATTAAGCCCCTTCGCGATACTAAAAATGGAAACCGGAACCAGCTTTGGTAGCTTTCAAGACTTGATTTTAGCTCACTTATTAAGCCCCTTCGCGATACTACAAATGGAAACCGGAAGGAGTCTTGGTAGCTTTCAAAACTTGATTTTAGTCTGGGAATGGACCCAATTAGAGTCCAACCAAATTAAAACAACTTGATTTTAGTCTGTTCCCAGTGATTGCACAGGCTGGGAATGGACCCAATTACAGTCCAACCAAATTAAAACACAAAAAAGGAGTATCCCCTGGCAGGGCTCATAAAAGGGTGGACTGGGCGTTCTGGGTGCGAATTGTTCCCCTCTAGTGATGACATTCTGTGCTTGGGGAGCCCCTGCCACAGGCCAAACAAATGCCACTCCGAACAAGCCCTAACTAGATTTAGAAATTAACCAACAGGCAGGTGAGGGTTAAAACGATCCTGTCCGAATCGAAGGGGAAATTTCCTCCTTTGAGCGAACCAAATGAGTTCGGACAGTCTTTGGCTCCGCCGTCCGCGTGATGATGACTAAGCTGTTTTTCCGCGGTGCCAGGAACAGCAAACAGAATCTGGAGTCGCCCTTCTGTTTGGTCCAGAAGACGCTGGGAATGCAGCTGTTGTCCCCAAAAGCCTGCGCGAGGGATAAAAATGGTTCTTCAAATATTTGCTCTTCCTGACGCAGCAGATGTGATTCAGAAAGCGTGTTTCACACACACACACAGAGAGAGCAAGGGGGAGCACGCGCACACACTAGTCATGACCCCAGCAAAAGTCCTCCAGGTTTCCAGACAGGAGGTGGACGCGGAGGTCCACTTCTTAGCAAACGAAATAAAAATCAAAAGGACAATGCTCCAAACATTTATTTCACACGGCGCGTGCTTCGGATGGCTCCATCCTGCCACCTCTTCGACCGAGACACAAGCCTATAAATACAGGTGTTTGTTTTTAAAAGGAAGGCCCTCTAAAATCCGGGCAACTAAAATTAAACCACGGGCAGATATAAAAAAGCATTTGCTCCAGTTTTCAGTTTCCCGTCCCTAATTCTCATCAAAATGTTGGTTGTTCAACCCAACTAGAGTGGCCGAGTGTTCTTTCAAGAACAATAACTACCATGGAATTGCAGAGCTGGAAAAGGGGACCCCGTGGGGTCATCCAGTCCAGCCCCTGTCAAGGAGGCCCCAGTGGGGGAATCAAACTCCCAACCTCTGGCTCCACAGCCACAGATCTCAACCCCTGAGCGATCCAGCCAGCTAAACTGGGAAAGTTGTGTTTCTTGTAATTTGTAGGTTTCTGCCAGGTGGTATGGACGACACGTACACCTTCTCCTCTTTATTTAGTCGCCAAGAAGCCGACATGTTTTGAGTTTTACACAATATTATTTTTTTGAAATGCTTTTTGTTATTTCATTTTCCTTGAAGGCCACCTTGTCTTCCGGTTCCAGAAAAAAAAGGTGGAGTACCCTTCAAATAATAAAAGAATCCCGCATTCCGAGATCTAAGTTCAACGCTCCATCTAGAAGCTGAAATGACATTTCCCGGATGAAAAGCAACTAAACTCTTACAAGATGGTTCTAGACGTGCCACGGGACATTTCCCTAAAAGCAGTCTTGGGTCCCCAGATGTTCTGGCGCTAAAACTCCCAGCAGCGTCCAACTAAACTCTTACAAGATGGTTCTAGACATGCCACGGGTCATTTCCCTAAAACAGTCTTGGGTCCCCAGATGCTCTTGCGCTAAAACTCCCAGCAGCGTCCACCACGAGCTGGGCTGGCCAGGATTTCTGGGAGTTGCAGTTCAAGAACACCGGGGGGACTCAGATTGGGAACCTCTGCTCTCTAGACCCTGGTGTGTTTGGTTCAGATGATCCTCCAGACCAGGGTTTGGAGGGTCATCTGAACCAACCCAAGGATTGGAGTCTCCTGGTGTCAATCTTGAGTCACTCAGGCGTTCTTGGACTACAACTCCCGGAAGCTTTCGCCACTCCCGATGTTGGATTTCTGGGAAGGATTGGAGTCTTGAGTCACTCAGGCGTTCTTGGACTACAACTCCCAGAAGCCTTCGCCACTCCCGATGGTGGCCAGGATTTCTGGGAACTGAAGTCCAAGGACACATCCATGGCTCACTTCGAGCAAAACCCAAAAACACACACAGCAACCCCCTCGAGTGTGTCTCGTCTTCCTTAGGAGGAAATCCGTGAATTTGGTGAAGTTTTTATCCAGCCGTAAAACAAGCAGGCGCTCCTACAACACAAGAGTGGGGTCTACCAGCAGCAAGAGCGAAGCAACCCCACCGAGCCTTCTCGAAATGTACTAGCGCCAAACTGGATTTGGCCAAGCCGGAACACAGCCGAAGTTCCTGGTGGATCCTTCATAACCTAATCCTCTCATTAGCAATATTTAAACACCTATATTTCCCAGTCTCTTATGGCCATCGGTTTCTCCTTTATTTTTATTAGATCACCGCCATGTGACTCTCTCTCTCTCTCTCTCTCTTTTGCATTTCTCGTGCCCAACGGCGGCTTCCCGGAGACAGTGAGCGTGAAAGATATTCACTCAAATAAAGTAGGAATTGCACGATATTATTGAAAAAGTGACCTCCAGTGGTCACCCATCAGCTGCAGGCAAAAGACTATTATCACGGAACTTTTTTTCCCCCCCTCAACCCCACGGGAGCGAATGTTGTGTGGGCTTCTCCAGTCAAGGGACCCCCCACTATATATTAATCTTTAGGGCCCCACCCATTCCAAAGCCTCCCCAGGCATTATTTCACGCAGCCACCGGCAGCCACCAGGTTATGACCGAGACAGGATTGGAAAGGTATTGTTCAAGAACATCGCAATGGCGCCGATTCCCTCCAGCCTGGGGTGGTCACCAGCTTCTGTTCCCAGGTCTGCATTTCTTTTCCAAAGAAACAAATTTATTTTTTAATTGATTATTCGGGGGTGGGGGATTCAGCCATATATAACTTTAAAAAAATATCTGGGAATGCAACCATACCTTTGATATATGTTGGCATCACAACGTCAGTTGCACGAGATGCTCGGAAAATTCATGGGAGGATGTGTTGAACGCACAACTGATGGGGTGTCGTCCCAAACTATTTTCTAACAGAAGAGGCAGTGCGGTGTAGTGGCTAGAAGGGAGGTCTGGGAAATGGAAATGAAAGCTTCCACCATGCATGGAAACTCCCGGGCTTCGCTCGGGCCAGCCAGTCTTTCTCTCAGCTGATCTGCTCCGCAGGGTTGTTAGTCATTAACTGTAGAACTTCAGAGCTGGAAGGGACCCTGTGGGATCATCTAGTCCAGCCCATGCCAAGGAGGCCCGGGGGGAAGGAATCGAACTCCCAGCCCTCTTACAACCTAACCAACATCCTCATTTCTTATGACTCAGCTTCTTGGGTCGGACTTTTTAAGTTCTGCCATCATCCCCCATCCTGGCTTGGTGGGATGGGAGTTGTAGTCTGCCCCGGGGAGCACCGGTGCCACAAAGCCATCGTGCCAAAAGCCGAAACGCAGTTCTTGACTTCTCTTCTCCCTTAAGCCACACAACACCTTATCCTAGGGGAAAAATGTAGACCAAGTGGGTTCGAATGCGAGAGAAAGGTGAGGGGAAGGGGCCATCTTGTCGGCCGCGATCAGATCTCCGAAGTTGGCGGGGAGCAACTCCGCGGCGGGCTCTCCGTGTTTAGCGCTCCTCCGAGGCTTCCGGCGCCGCGTAAGCATCACTTTGCATTAGCCGCTGAAAGAAAGGTTGCCGTACCATTGGCTCGTGAGAGCACAAGGCTGGAGATGAAACGTGCACGAGGTTGAGGTGCATCAGAACAAAATCTGCCATAAATCAAGCTCAGGTTATTCGCTCATCTGCTCCCGGGGAGGATTTCTGCTCCAACTTGCAGAATCAAGCCAGTGAACATCCCTCCATCCATCTTGACTTCAGGGCGTCTTTCCAAATCTTGAGTTGCATTTTCATCCCATTCTTAGCTACATCAAAGTAGTAGATGAAGCTTCGTGGGATAGCTTAGGGGGATGAGGTCTCTGGCTATGGGGTCAGAGGTTGGGAGTTCGAATCCCCCCCTCCACTGGGCCTCCTTGACAGGGCTGGACTGGATGACCCCGAGGGTCCCCTTTTCCAACTCTAGCAGTTCTAAGATGATCAAGATTGTAAATCAACACAGGTGTAAATGCCGGTAATTTAGCAGGTCCCGGCTGGCAGCACAGAAAAAAAGCGCCCTGCATTGTTTCACATCACACCTTGTCCATGATCACAACTCTGCATCGGCCCAGGTTCTTTCCAGTTGCTTCCCTACGAAATTCCAGAATGCAAACTGGGAAAATACATCCAATTTCCTTTTTTTCCCCCCCTCTTTAAGTCGTCCTTTTAGGGGGGAAAAAAAAACAGCCCAGAGTTTTCACATGTTTCCATTCATGCTTTTGTGTTGAGCTTTTTAAAGACAACTCTTTTGTCGCTGGCTCCCTAGGTACGTGTCCCAGTTATACAAAAACTTCCATCTGACTGACTTGAAAACACACACAATTAACCCTAGAAGAACTCACCCACTGCCCACTCTCCCTACCCTGCTCCTTGACCCACAGGCGATGGGGATTACGGATGGAATTTCTGGATTATTATTTTTTTTGGACTACGGATCCCATCATTCCCCATTCCGGGAGCTCTCCCTGACTTACGCACACCTTACCGCCATCTAAATTCGGCTCACCTGGAAGACAGGGCCTGAACTAGAAGCCTTTTAGGCCCAGCTTGGCTTAGCTCCGCCCCCAACTTCCTGTTTAGGACAGGAAGAGGAAGCTTGGCCAGAGCTAGGCCTAGCTCGGGCTCAAAATCTTCCAGTTTAGGCCTTTTCTCCCAGGCGAGCCACATTTAAGCACCCGTAAGGGGAGTCGGTGTCAGGCAGAACACCCAGAATGGGGAATGATGGGTTCTGTAGTCCAAGAAATATTCCAATTCTAATAATGATATTGCCTGTGGTGATGGAGTTGTAGATCGGAAACTGAAAGGCTACACATTTCTGAGACAAAGGAAAACCAAGCTTGTACTGGAGGCTGGAGTCACAGGTCGAAATCATTCGATATTTTTGATTAGCTAGGATTCATGGAATCAACATGCTTCCTACTCACGTTTCGGTTTTCCCTAAACGGAGTGGCTCTCCTCCTACCTCGGTTGAATGTTCCAAACAAAAATTACAATCTTAAATGGGAATGTAAAATATTCCAGGGTGGTCTGAAACTTGAATAGGCAACTAAGATCCATTCACTTTACAAAAGACTCTGCAGTTCTAAGCCGATGAATGCGGTTTCTGCTGAAGAACTCTGTGAAGCTTTAAAACTTGCCGCTTTCTCAAGCCATGTAGTCAACAGACAACACCCAACGGGTCTGAAACTTTGGGGGAACGAAATTCGTATGTAAATTGATGTTCATTTACTTATTGGCTGGAATCCAGGAGGAAGTCACAACTAAAGGGGTAGCGTAACGGATCCGGGGTTTTTTTCCGGTCCATCAGCTCCTCTGTGCGTTCCACAGAGTCAGTGGGCCTTCTCCAGGCAAGACTTGCTGCTCGATTTAGTAAATCGGTTGGAAAACTCGATGCTCCTCGAAAATCAACATCGCGGATCACGGAATCGTGGGAGTGAAAAGGGGGCTTCTAGGGCAGATCGGACATCCTGTATACACCCCTGAAAAATCAGGGTCTAAACAGAAGAGGTGCCAACCTTGTATCAGCACTGGAAATGTAGGGTATTGCACCCCCTCTTTTAAATAGTCAAGCCCTGGAAAGGCTGGACGGACGGTTTTATTTGTTGTCTGTTTGTTTCCCCGTCGGTGTTTCGAGAAATTAGAACGTTTTCGTCAGGAAGAAGCGTGAGTTTCCAACCACGCGCATGGCGGGGGAAGTGGAACAAGAGAGATTTTCCGACTCCTTCTGCGCGCAACCCGCATGCCTCTTCCTTCCACATCTCTGCTTCAGGCCGTGACTAAATGCGGCCGGCTCCGGAACGCTGTGGCATTTTCCATCCTCCGCTCAGTTCCCCCCCCCCCAATGCCGATGAGGAATCCGACGGAGCTCAGAAGCCTGCAGATTCTTCTGTGACATTTCGGTGGGTCTCGTCCTGGTACCACATGGAGACCACGGAGGGCACCTGTACGTCTTCCTCCTCCGAGCCGAGGGAAGCCGCTTCTTGGCAATCATCTGGGGGTTCCACAAGCCAGGGCCTGATATTTTACTGTCCTTCCTAGAGACACACAACCTTCCAGTGCTGGACGTCTCTGGCTTCCAGGCCACCGAAGGCGTTCTGATGCGCTCGTGGCGCAGCAGACGGGACGGTCAGGGGGTCCGCTGAAGCCCACAGCGGTGGGCTTGCCACTAGAAGAATAAGCAGAAACAGCATCCTCCCCTTTTATGCCCCTTGTTAAGTCTGTTCCTGTACACCAGATGGTCGGATCCAGAGATGGCGACCCGCAGGGTGCAAGGAAGCAAGAGGATGGCAGTGCAGGTGATCCTGTAGCGGTAGTGTTTCGTCCTACTTTGTCCCACGGAAGGAAACGAAGGGGGCAGAGCGATAGGGTGGGGCCGGCTGGAGAGATCCCGGGTTTAGGTCTCCAGCTGCAGAGCCAGCGGTTGGGAGTTCGATTCCCCCCCTCCCCGCCTCCCTCTATGGCGTTGCAAAGCTATCCCTGATGGTAATGCCAACTACGCGAGGAGTGGATTAAAAAAGGGCGATTCAGAGCCCTTACCTTTACAAAAGACCTGCTCCCCCAAGGGCTGATGGTTTGTTTGGCTGCTCCTAGCCGGTCCCAAAGGAGGCCATCGCTTGCAAATTTGCCACACACACCCCCAGGCCTCCGAAGCCGGAGGTGCGCAAGGCGTGCGCGGTTCTACTCAGGAGTAAGGGTCCCAACAAACCCACACACATACACGTGTGGGCCGCCCGCTCCCCGGACAGGACAGGCCGGCTTCCGCGGCCCACAACCCGTTACGTTTAAGAGCACCCCCCCCGTGCGGCAGTGTCGATCCCAGTGCGGCGCGCAGGGCTTCCTCGCGAGGAAGGCGCGCAAGGAAACTCGCTCAGCCGGCGACCTCGGGCCCTTTTTTTCCAAGCATTCCCCCGCAGCCCTGCGCGAGGACGCAGGAAGAGGGGTGCATGGTTTGGCTTTTTGTGTGTGTGTGTGTGCGCTACGTTTGCACGAGCGTTTTGCACGGCGTGCAAATGCGGCGCCAGCCTTCCCCTCCCCCGGCGTGCACCGGGCTGCCAACGCGGCGCCCTCCCCATGCATGCTTTCTGGATCGCTCGCACACACGCGCAACCTCTGATTCACTCCTGCGCGGACCTTGCGCGCGATCCAAGCCTCAGCATCTCCCTTCCCAGGGGCGCCCGATCCAGCCTCCCGCAGCGCAGGGATCGCCTAAGAGCAGAAAGGAGCCCCCTTGACCGATCCGCCCCCCTGCGCGTGGAAAAAGCCCCCCCCGCGCTCCCAAGGGTCGCGGCTCCTTTAAGGGACCCC